TTTGGGTGCGGCGGGCGGCGTCGAGGCGGCGATCGTGTGCAAGGTGCTCGAGACGGGCGTCGTGCCTCCGACGATCAATTACCAGACCCCCGACCCGGACTGGGACCTCGACTACGTGCCGAACGTCAAGCACGTCGCCGAGAAGCCCATCGAGGTTGCTATCCCCGACAACCTCGGTTTCGGTGGGCCCAGCCGGGCGCCCGCCTGCAGCCGCAAGAGGGCATTCAGCCGGGACCCCGCGCATTCAGGGGGGCAAAACGCCGCGTTTGTTTTCAAACGCTACCAGCCCCCCCAGTGACCAGGAGTGGCGGGGGACCGCCCCCTGGCCTTCGCAGGATCCGAGGGGGGGGGGGACGGCTTTTGTAGTGGAGCTTCGCCCGCTGCGCTCCGGCCCGGCGCGGCCCGTTTTCGCACTCTCACACCCAGCCCCCCCCCCCCCCCCCTCTTTGCTCATGACTTCGAGTAGAGCGCTCTCCTGCGCGAGAAGCACTGTTCTGTGTTGGAGCACATCAGAGACGTGTGTTGTCACACACAGTTCTCGGTCCTATGGTCTCTCATACGTGGAGCTGGGTCTGAACACAGCTTTACCGTTGTCTGCGATAAATAAAATACCCGGCGGCGAGGCTCCCTGATGTCGCGTGTCGGTAATAAAATACCAGGAGCGAGGACACGGCTGGACCAACTTGACCATTCGAGCCGCTCACCTCGCGGCTTTGCTGTAGTCACGCGCGCCAAAAATGGAGGAGCCAACCCGCACAGAGGTGGAGCCCGAACGCGCCGCCTCCTCAAAATCGCCGGACATGCCCATCGAGAGCTCGAGCGACTCCGGCGGCACCGCAAGCCGCGCAGCGACGGCCTCTCGGCAGGCCGCGAGGGCAGCAAAGCATCCGGTGTCGCCAGCGGCACCGATCGTCATCAGGCCGGCGACGCGCAGGCTTTTGCAGTCGGCCGCGACGGCGGCCGCGAGTTCGGCCGCCTCCTCTGCGAGTACGCCCCCCTTCGTCCCTTCCCACGGCGAGGTGTTGACCTGCACCAGCACGGCGAGTGGCTCCGGCCGCTCGAGCGCGCGCAGGGCGCTGTCGAGCCGGGTGGCGAGCTTGAGCGAGTCAACCGTCTCGACAGCGACCAAGTTTGGCACCTGCGCAGGCGGTGGTCCCGAGCGTGCGTGCGCTGCGCTACAAATGTGCGGGCGAGCGCAGCGGATCGAACGTGCCTGCGAGAGCACCTTGGCCTTGTTCGACTGGAGCTTGCCGATGAAGCGCCATCGCACGTCGCTCGGCATCTGCGGCGCCTTAGACACCAGCTCCTGGACGTAGTTCTCGCCAAAGTCGCGCACTCCCGCGTCATACGCTTCGCGTAACGCCTCGACCGGCTTGGTCTTCGAGACTGCGACGAGACGAGGCTCCTCGCCCTCGCCAGCCGCCGCCGCGAGCCGCCGACGCACGGCGGCAAGCGCCTGCTGCACGTCGTGTGCCTCGCAGCATAGCGGCCGTGCACGCGCGTGCAGCGCGGGACGACAGAGGCTGCTGCTGATCGCAGCCAGGATCATCTCTTGGCCGCAGCACGACAACCGAGCCAGCGAGGTGGGTATTCTTTTTGCTTGGGGCGGCCAGCAAGCTGAAATTCTGGAAAAACCTGACCGGCCCCTGCGGTGCCCCTACCTACCTACCTACCTACCTCCCCTACTTATGGGAAACTAAAAAAGAAATCACGGTATGGGTGAAGGTGGGGCTCCTCCCATAAAGAAAGAAAGAAGACAGGCAACCCAAGGGAGGGATGGGAGGACGGTACGCCGCCACCACACAGGGATTTTAGGGGAGAAGTGTGGTGTTAGCCGTCGCCCACCCTCGGGCGTCTACCACTTCCTATCTCTCTCCGCAGTTTATCACCAATTCTTGCAGCGACCTTCATGCCACCTCGCATTCTTCTCACTCTCGTCGTTCTCTCTCCTGCTGTCTCTTCCCCGGACTCATCGCTCTCCTCGGCCTCGTTCTGAGACGCCGCTGTCGTCTGCCGATCTCTTGCTCTCGCTGCTTCTCTCGCCTTTCTGCGTAACTCCGCTCTCCTCTCCGCGTATTTTGGTCCCTC